AAAATTACAGTTTTGTCTGTACATTGCTTAGAATCATGCAGTTTTTTGTTATTTTTACGTTTCATAGCCTAAGAAAGCCGAAACGTGTTTTATCTCAATTTCTGTCTGTATGTCTGTCTGTCCATTCTGTGACTCCGTCTGTAACGCCAAAATGTCATTTTACGCGGCCTACTCCTAGAAAACTAAAGTACCGATCAAGGTTCTAATCATTTTTCTGTATTTACTGGATTGGTGAGAGTGTCTTTGGCTATAAAAACATGGCCTCGCTTCTTTGAAAACAAAATAACAAACCACCAAAAACCCATTTTTGTTCGATTTTTGTCAAATTTCTCCCAATGTTTATTATTACCGTACATTTTATGAAATAACGATCAGCTGTTTGGATTAGTTCTCACTTCTAGCTGTCACTGATATGTTTACATTCAAAGTTGTTTACAAATACCGCAACCATTTCCGATCAAGTTTTGTCAGCACATCCAAACAAAGTGAGATTAAAAATTTGTGCCTTACTTAACCGGTTAAATTAATCGCAAGTGCAACGATTGTTCTTGAGTTTTGATAACCGGGGAAAATACCGTGAATCAGTGTTGTATTAGTGCAAGGAAACTTACATTTTTTTAATCATCGTCACCAATACCGTAGCTTACAAAGGTTTCCACTCATTGACGGCGCTTCAAGGACAGTTGTGTTAAGTGCAAAGTAAAAAATCAAAACTACAGTGGGTGATCGTGGATGTTGCTGCGATCTTGGAAGATCTTTCTGATTTCGCTGTGATCGTACCGTAACAGAGGTTTAACTTAACAGATGTAGCTAAACTCGCTTATCCAATGTGTCACTTTTGGTTTCTACTTACTTACATTTCGACAACGATATCGGTACTTTTCCTACTTAGGAAATAAAACTACAATCGTACAAACCCCCAGATTTGTGCGTTTTTGTCACATTTCCTCTGAATGTTTGCTAGATAAATGTACCGATTATCGTTTAGATTATTTTTACATACAAACACATCACTATTTTCAATATTTATTTATAAACACTGAACATTATTGCTTATTAAATTTAATTGATGTCTTACTGTATAATTTTTAGCATTTTCTGTCTGGACACCAAAATGTTGTGTGGACTCAATTCTGTATTTGTGTGTGTATGTCTATTGGTAACGCATTAATGTCCTTATTTTTCGTGGAAAAGACAAGAGCACCATTGTTAACTAGGTGGCGTTCGCAGATGCATCCACAAAATTGAGCGGAGTCATCCAGGGTTCATATTATATTGTTTTTGTCATATTGCAGTAAAAACAGTCGTCATTGATGCATGCGTTGCGGGTCTAAAGTAGCATTTTAATCTTTAGGGGAAAAAAATTCGTTTTTAGACTCTATGGAGTAAAAATGAGCTGTTATCAGCTCAGTTGTAAATTTCTATTGTAAACGATTGAATACGTATCGAAATATGTAACGATTCGTGCTTCATAATCATTTTAACCTACAGTCTACAGTCTCTTCCTATAGCATTTTAGCAATGCAGTAATCCATTCCCACACTCAACACTGCCCACCTTTACTACTTCCTTCACCACCCCCTACGTCGTGGACCTGTTTCCCTCTCTTCCAATAGCATTTTAGGATTGCAGATATATTAATGTAATTGCCAAAGACAGTTCACACACTCTGCACTGCAAGCCTTACTACTTCCTTCGCCATTTCTTACGTCATAGACCTGTTTCTTTCCCTTCTCATAGGCCTAGCATTTAATTATTAGATACATTTATCTAACTGCCCAAATAACCCACTCACTCACACTCTGCCGTCACTCTGCACTGCCAGCCATTACTACTTCCTTCACCACTTCCTACGTCGTAGGGACCGTTTCCTTCCCTTCTCATAGCATTTAAGTATTAGATAGATTTATCTAACTGCCCAAACGGTTCCCTCACTCTGCACTGCCAGCCTTTACTACTTCCTTCACCACTTCCTACGTCGTGGGGCCTGTTTCCTTCCCTTCTCATAGCATTTTAGGATTGAGGATACATTTATCTAACTGCCACAGACGGTTCTCACAATATGTTCATACTTTACTACTTCCTAAGTCACTTCCTACATCGTGGACCTGTTTTCATCACTTTCCATAGCATTTTAGTATTTTGGATACGCTAATCTAATTGCCACAAACATTGCCCACACCCCTCACTGCTAGCCTTTACTACTTCTTTCACCATTTTTTATGTCGTTGGCATGCTTCCATCCCTTCTCATAGCATTTCAGCATTGCAGATACATTAACCCAACTGCTACAAACGGTTTCCAGTTCCCAAAATCCACACTGCTCACCTTACTACTTCCTTCACCTCTTCTTTCGTCGCAGACCTGTTTCCCTCTCTTCCAATAGAATTTTAAGATTGTAGATACCAAGATACCTTAATCTAATCGTCATAAACAGTTCCCACACTCCGAAAAACTCACCTTTACTGCTTCCTTCATCACGTCCTACGCCACGGACCTGTTTACCTCCCTTCCCTTAGCATTATTGGAATGCAAATACCTTAATCTATTGGTCATAAACAGATCCCACACTCTGGACAGCTCGCCTTGACTACTTCCTTCACCACTTCCTACGTCACGGACCCGTTTTCCTCCCTCTCCATAGCATTTTAGGATTGCAGATACCTTAATCTAATTGTCATAAACAGTTCCCACACTCCGAAAAACTCGCCTTTACTGCTTCCATCATCACTTCCTACGTCACGGACCTGTTTACCTCCCTTCCCTTAGCATTTTTGGAATGCAAATACCTTAATCTATTGGTCATAAACAGATCCCACACTCCGGACAGCTCGCCTTGACTACTTCCTTCACCTCTTCGTACATCGCGGACCTGTTTTCCTCCCGTCCCATAGCTTTTTAGGATTGTAGATACCTTAATCTCATAGTCATAAATAGTTTCCACACTCCGGACAGCTCGCCTTGACTATTTCCTTTACCACTTCCTACGTCGCGGACCTGTTTCCCTCCCTTTCCATAGCATTTTAGAAATGCAGAAACCTTAATCTAATCGTCATAAACAGTTCCCACACTCCGGACAGCTCGCCTTGACTACTTCCTTCACCACTTCCTACGTCACGGACCCGTTTTCCTCTCTTCCCATAGAATTCTAGGAATGCAGATACCTACCTAAATCTAATCGATTTAAACAGTTTCCACATTCCGGAAAGCTCACCTTGACTACTTCCTTCATCACTTCCTACGGCGCGGACCTGTTTTCCTCCCGTCCCATAGCTTTTTAGGATTGTAGATACCTTAATCTCATAGTCATAAATAGTTTTCACACTCCGGACAGCTCGCCTTGACTATTTCCTTTACCACTTCCTACGTCGCGGACCTGTTTTTCTCCCTTCCAATAGCATTTTAAGATTGCAGATACCTTAATCTAATTGTCATAAACAGTTCCTACACTCCGGACAGCTCGCCTTGACTACTTCCTTCACCACTTCCTACGTCGCGGACCCGTTTTCCTCCCTTCCCAAAGAATTTTAGGAATGCAGATACCTACCTAAATCTAATCGTCTTAAACAGTTTCCACTTTCCAGACTGCTTACCTTCACCACTTCCTACGTCACGGACCCGTTTTCCTCCCTTCCCATAGAATTTTAGGAATGCAGATACCTACCTAAATCTAATCGTCTTAAACAGTTTCCACACTCTAGACTGCTCACCTTTACTACTTCCTTCACCACTTCCTACGTCACGGACCTCAAGCTAGTGTCGTCATTTGATTATATTTATGATCCACACCACCGTTTATGTTCTAATATCTGTGGAATAATGCTATATCAGTTATTTATTTATCTACTGCATTCAAAAGTCAACAGCTGATGATATGTCTTTGTTTATGTGTCAAATACTGCTTCCATAAGGATTACATTGAAACTTTGAGACCCAGTGGGGCGGATTCCTGAGAGACTTTTTTAACGCCATATAGATGTTGGCACTCACCGATATGGTCTTTATCACCATGCAAAATTTGAAAACGATTGATTCAGCCGTCTAGGAGGAGTTTGCGTATTACGAAATGCATAAAAGTCGACGTATAAGAGCTTCGCTCAATAAAAATTTCAACCCGAATAAAGTGTGCAGTAGTGAGGTTGAGGTAGTGTTTTAACTACTTTTAACCAGTTTGAAAAGTGAACTTTCAATTACACGCCTACCTTAGGGCTATGCCTCATAGATCTATACTGTAAAGCAATTCCTTTCATCGTTAGATATAAAATATGGACTAACACGATCGGGCGACATTTAATTGCGAAGCATTCGTTTTGGCTTTGAAACTGTCAGATATTGTATTTGAGAAGGTTTAGGCCTATATGTATTCCTGAACAATTATAGTTTTGCCATCATATCTGGAAAAATGCACACTAAATATGCAAACCAACTCCTGTTCTGAATATAAGGTTTTAACTTACTACAAGATTCCCGTACGTAGAACGGGCAAACAGCTAGTACTGTATAATGTTAAATTGAGTACCTACTCTAATTGAGCTTTATTATTATTTTATTTAGCCTATTGTTTAAAAAAATGTTAATTTCTTTCTGTGCTAAATGTTGTTAACTTACTCATATTCATTTTAGAAGGCAAAAATTGTGTCAACTAAACTGGCGGTTGTTATCAACCATTGTTTCAAAATGTTAAATGTTTTTGGATAGTACCTATTACCTTATTGTTGAATAAAGCACTTATTGGCTGCACTTACTTTAGGTAAACTACACTCATTCGAATGAAAATATCGATTATTTGATTGTTTCATTCGATATATCATTTGGTTAGTTAGGTTAGGTTACCTAACTAACCAAACCATACATCGAATCGATTAATTGATATATCGATTAATATTTTCATTCGAATGAGTGTAGGACCTAAAGTAAAGTGCAGCCCACTTGTTCATTTAATTTCATTGTAACCTAGGCCGATTATTGTACTTATTGTATTTAATAAGGCATAGGCTTACCCAGTTAGTGGCAAGTGGGATGCACAATAAGCTTCGGTTGACGTGCTTAAACCACGAGTTCACCCCTCTCACAATACAATATAGTATTTAATGGTAAATAAAGACTTAACTTATGACTTAGCATGAGAAAGAGGAGAATGATAACGAGACCGGGACCACACCACCACTACCACACGGGACTAATGCAGGCAGTCTGCACTGCACTGGCTGGCGCTGGCAGTATTATAGTAATTATACTGTTAGTATAGGAAAGTCAAAGATAATAGTATATATACCACGAATACTAGAATAAAGCCTTTTCAAGTATTCGTGATACATACTAACTGTGTTACTGTTAAAGTTATGTGACGAATCCTCCTCGTCGTATCATAATAAACAAACAAAGTAACCATGGTTACCGCTTGGTTACCATTACAACCATCGCACCATCATCAGCATCATCAATCAGCCCAGTGCCCAGTAGTGAGTGAGTTAGTAAGTTGAGTTCACTCCACTTCCACTACCACTCCACATTGCTCCAGCTCCACATGACCAAAACTAAAATCTCGTTTTAGAGAGCAGAGAAAATACTGCTGTTAAAGTTATCATAGATTAAACATACTCCTGAGGAGTATATTTTATCTATGATGTTATCCTGCAAAGCTAAAATGAATTTCTTCCATAGGACTTAAATACCCCCGCCGCAGCAAACCTGCAGACTAAGCGAATTTCCATTTGCCTGATTGGATTTACACAAAAATGTCTCCTTAAAAATATCACATTTATTCCCCATTTAAATAGAATCAGTTTAACACATACTTAGGTTTGCTGCAACAGGGAGGGTAAAAGTGTTTTTTTGTGTAAAATGTTAATAGTTAGTAAGAAATTAAAACATTTTCCAAATTTGGGCAAAATATGTTCATAAACAAGCAAACTACAACAGTTTACTTATTCTCCATAAGAATAACATGGGAATTTTAAATTAACAATTTCTCCGTAACCATTAGGCGCATTATAACGCTTCAATATACTAAATTATTTGTTTTTTTAAGCTCCACAAAATAGTTTGGAAAGAAATTACAAAATTTTATGTTTTTTGGGTCAAAAATTGGAAAAACCCATTTTTACCCCATAAAAGCCCCCATAAACCCCCGTTCCCATGGTCCGATCTTGCTGGTTCGCGAACTCGTTCGAATAAACGTAGGTTTACACGTTTGTACCAAATTTCATCAAAATCGGATCATTTTTGCTCGAGTTATCGCGCTAACGGACACATATATATATATATATCTATATAAATAAAATTAGAGTTTTGTCTGTACATTGCTCAGAATCATACATTTTTAGGTTATTTTTACGTTTTTTACATTAAAGAAGCCGAAACAAGTCTCATCTAAATTTCTGTCTGTCTGTCTGTCTGTCTGTCTGTCTGTCTGTCTGTCTGTCTGTCTGTCTGACACACTCAAGATGGCATTTTACGCAATCTTCTCCAGGAAAACGAGAGTACCTATCAAGACCCAAGTCATTTTAATGTATTCACTGGATTGGCGAGAGTGTCTTTAGCCATTAAAATATGGTCTCACTACTTTGTAATTAAAATTACGGCCGTTCAAAAATGCAGTTTTGTGCGATTTTTGTCAAGTTTTCTTCAAATTTGTATCACATAATCATCTATGAAACAACGAACAGCTGTTCGGATCAAGATTATTTTTTCTAGCTGTCACTGAAATGTTTACAAATGTTGTTTACAAACACCACAACCATTTCCGATCACGTTTTGAAGGCAAATCCCATCCAAGTGAGATTAAAAACGTTTTTATTACATAAAGGATTTAATTAATCGCAAGTGGAATAATATAGTGTAACCGTAAATTAAATAACTAGGCATCATCCAGGTCAGGAACCAGAAATATGTGTATAAAATTGTTTTGGAGTTTTGATAACCAGAAAGAAGACATTGAATCAAGATTGAATCAGTGTTGTATACGGCTGGGAAACTTAAATTTACTAATGACCGTCGCCAATAGCTTAGAAACAATGTTCCACTCATTGACGGCTCTTCAATGGTGGTTGTGTAAAGTGTAAAGCAAAAAATTACAACTGCAGTGGGTGATTGTAACAGAGGTTTACGGATGATGCTGAACTCGATTTTCCAATGTATCACTTTCTGTTCCTACCATTGACTATATAAAGTCAATAGTTCCTACTCACCGTGTGATGCAATAGCTGGACCATACAGCCAATAGGCCCATAGCCCTTCTCTTGGGTACGTGTGGTACGTATGCTTACCCAATTATTTATAACAACCCTTTCGACAACGATCCTTGATACCGGTACTTTTCCATAGAATACACGGCCTACCTAGGTACTTAAGAAATAAAATTATAAACGTCCAAAAACCCAACGTTGTGTGATTTTTGTCACATTTCCTTATAATGTTAATATATATACCAGCAACCTTTATAGAGAATACGTAATCTATTAAATAACAGAAAGTTATGTTGTATAAGGTTTTTTTTTCAAACTGACACCGATAAGTTTACATTAAGAGTTGTGTACAAATAAAGCAATTAATGGGAAATAACTTTTGATTGCCGATAACTTTTTACGAGAAAATCCAAAACCAAGAGATCAATAACCTTGATTAACGCATATAATTGGTCGGCTGTACTACAGTTCTTAACTGTAAACGTTGGTTTTTGGTACGGTACTGGTTCTTTTCCTTTTAACTTTTAGTAGCAGCAAGAATCATTTTTACGTACCAACACATCACAGTAATTTACAAATTAGTTATCGTTGGTGTTGCACCTTATTTATTACAGGCGTAGGCCTATTCAATTTAATTGATGTCATAACTGTATAATTTTTGCTTTTTCTGTCTGGATTCCAAAATGTTATGCTAAGAAAACTATAACGCATTTTAGTAAAACATTTATTCAGCAAACCATCATGAATTGTTCAAACACTTTGAACGTTGTTTATGTATCAATAGTTCGTGGCCTATTTTGGTAATTTTTATTACAAATTACCAATCTAAATCGTCTATAGTAGGCCTACTGTACTTCATTTCATATAGCAAACCGATTCAGATATCATTTCGACAGAATTTAGAGTCATCTCCGGTCCAAGCAAATATAAATTGCTATGATCAAATTTTATGGCATTAACAAAGATTTCAAGTACTAATTTTAATGTACCTTTTTATGCTTAAAGCGTAGCAGATTCCCTAATTAAGTTCGGTATTAGCGAATTTCCCATATAGGGAATAAGGTATTTTTGTGTGTATGTATGATGGTAACGCATTAATGTCCTTGTTTCTCAATGTTTCACGGAAAGGACAAGAGCGCCTTGATAATGAAAATGTCAACCCGAATAAAGTGTTAAATTAAGAGGTTGAGGTAGTACCTTAAATACTTTTAACCATTATGTTATAGTCCTTTAAATTCTGAACAAAATTGTACAAATCCCATTTCCGTATATTTACTCTCACCGCTTACACATGATAAAGGTTGTTGACAAACTTATGGGAGAAAGTATGTGTCAGAATGCTGATACCGTTTATTTAGTTTAATCATTGGATATAACATATGGACCAACAAGATCCGGGTGACATTTAATTGCGAAGCATTAGTTTTGGCTTGAAACTGTCAGATACTGTACTGTATTTGCGAAGGAATAGTTTTGTCAGCATATCTGAAAGTATGCAAACCAACTGCTGTGCTTTATATAAGAATTAAGGTTTTAACTGACTATGATAAGATCCCCGTGCGTAGAACGGGCACACAGCTAGTATCCTACTAATATTATAAATGAGAAAGTTTGGATGTATGGATGTATGTTTGTGACAAGTGAACGCGAAAAATACTGGTCGGATTGGGCTGAAATTTGGCATGATGATAGCTCACATTCCCGATTAACATATAGGCATATTCTTATTTCAAAAATCCTTTCGGGCTCCGCCCCAGTGGCTCTGGAGTTTCCCATGTTAACCTTATGAGAAATGAAATTATTGAATCTTAACAGCTGTTTCAATTAAACAAGCTGGTTCTGTTCTGTGATGTTCAATAGCATTAAAGTTACAAAAATTACCAACAGGGTGCAGCACTATTATTTCTTTTACATTTATGACAACAGCTAATTTGCAACCAAAAGGTGAGTGAGCGTAGCGAACGAACTTCAACCTGGAGGCGAGTTAGCGTAGCGAACGAGCTAACCTGAAGGCAAGTGAGCGCAGCGAACGAGCTCCAACCTAAAGGTGAGTGAGCGTAGCGAACGAGCTCCAACCTAAAGGTGAGTGAGCGTAGCGAACAAACTTCAACCAGGACGTGATTGAGCCATGCGAACGAGATAATCTTGAAAATTAAGAAGTTAAACGGGGCAAAGCCCGCGGGTTACAGCTAGTATATATATATATGAATTTGAACGGATGGTGTTTTTGGCCTCTAGGGACCTCAAAATGAAAAAAAAAATTGGTCCCGGGTCCAGGTCTTACCATGAGTACTACGGTAATAGCTTATCCTACTAATATTATAAATGAGAAAGTTTGGATGTATGGATGTATGGATGTATGTTTGTGACAAGTGAACACGAAAAATACTGGTCGGATTGGGCTGAAATTTGGCATGATGATAGCTCACATTCCCGATTAACATATAGGCATATTCTTATTTCAAAAATCCTTTCGGGCTCCGCCCCAGTGGCTCTGGAGTTTCCCATGTTAACCTTATGAGAAATGGAATTATTGAATCTTAACAGCTGTTTCAATTAAACAAGTTGGTTCTGTTCTATGATGTTCAATAGCATTAAAGTTACAAGGATTACCAGCAGGGTGCAGCACTATTATTTCTTTTACATTTATGACAACAGCTAATTTGCAACCAAAAGGTGAGTGAGCGTAGCGAACGAACTTCAACCTGGAGGCGAGTTAGCGTAGCGAACGAGCTAACCTGAAGGCAAGTGAGCGCAGCGAACGAGCTCCAACCTGAAGGTGAGTGAGCGTAGCGAACAAACTTCAACCAGGACGTGATTGAGCCATGCGAACGAGATAATCTTGAAAATTAAGAAGTTAAACGGGGTAAAGCCCGCGGGTTACAGCTAGTTCCCTATATGGGAAATTCGCTAAAAGCCTTATGCAATTACGATATTGACATGGTTACTTAGCAACCCATAAGACTAATGTTAAAAAATGTGACTTTCAGTTTAATTTTTCTACGTAATTAGATTTTTGTTGGCAGTTCTAACTGCAGTAAACTCGTTTTTAGGCCAAAAATAAACTATTTACAACATATGAAGAAAATCATCGTCGGAGCCGTTTTCGAGATCTTTCTGCAAGCAAGCATACATAGCCTACATACATACGAGCAAACATTGCTCGTATTAGAGCATAGATAGATAGATAGATAGATAGGATAAAACTAAACTGTCATAACCTAACCTAACCAACTAAACTTGCTGATAATATAAAAAAGATATAAGATAAAAATCAAATAAAGCAAAATCTTTGTCAAAAGGTTAGTGTCTCCGACGGGATTCGAACTCGAGACCTCCTGATCACTAATCTGATGCGCTATCAACTAGGCCACGAACGCCGCTTGAATCACATCGTTTCGTTACGGTAATCGTGTTGCCTCAAGAGATGACAATAGCCAGATATGACGTCACCACACCTTTTTTTTTTATCGGTTTTTTTAGTGTGGCCTTGCATCGTCCCTCCCGTATGCCCATTCCGGCGGCCGGCCTAGCTTTAGCTAGAGGCATGCATAGAGCAGTGTGCATCAAGTCGTATGAAAGAAGGTGTGTGCATAGTGACGTCAGTGCGAGTAAACGTGTTTTATTTTACCCACTGAGCTATAATTCTAACTGGAGGTAGCACTGAATGTCAAAGATGCGTGTCGCCAGCCGCCATGTTTGCGTGAGGTGGGTGTCCATAAGAAGCCATGTTATTGCTATGAAAAAAAAACTCACTGCTATACAACCTAGTTATAAGAAGCCATGTTATTGCTATGGTAAGAAAACTTACTGCTATACCAACCTAACAAAATCAGCGACTCGCTTTTGACAGACTTCTGCCATGGCAGTGCTACCTCCAGTTATAATTTTAGCTCAGTGATTTTACCGAAATCATATGTTAGCAAATTATAATTTTCCAAAGACTTTCGAATGACAATCATTACGAATTAGCATTGAATAAATAACACTATTTAGCATTTTATATCCAATATAGTGTTGTAATCAATATTGAATATAGTCATAGTGTTTTACAGTATATTCAATGGTGGTAGTATTAGTATATAGCATTTTGATAGTGAGTACCTTTTAATCGAAAAAACAGTAAAGCAGTATATGTTGTAACTGTGGCTGCCTTAACAGGCAATATATTTTTAGGTGACCATATAAAAATAGTTTTAAATATAATACCTTTTTTGCAGCTCCTGCTTATGTTTTATATAATTGAAAATCTCTCATTTAACTAGCCTTAGTGGAAAATAAATAGTTAAGGTACAAATAAATTAACATGATTGTATTTACATATATTTAACAAAAACAGCACAAAATTACATATAGCTTAAGTTGTAGAGATTTTATAACACTTTAATGACTTACACTAAACCCAAGCACTAAACCACTAAGCCCGTGTAGGGGAACCCCTCGGACTATGGGTTTTCTTAATAAATTCAAAAATTTACTAGACGCTTACCGAATGGCCTCTCTTGTTTTGCGAAGTGGGAAATCGCGACCGCAGCAAACCATCACGAGTACATGACGTAACCGCAATCAGAAGAAATCATCACGGCTGTTGCCGCGATACGGAAATCATCACGAATCTCGCCACGATTGAGATATGGCCACAATCACAAATAGGCCTATAGTCATGGATGCTGAGATAATCGCAGGAGATTATCGCGGATGTTGCCGCCATTGTGTAAGACACGAATAACGTGACTGCAATTATTATGGCATTGCCACCATCGCAAGTAAAGATCACACACGGCTATATATATATATATATATATTTATATATATTTAAGATGTTTGTGGCCTTTTATCGAATCCTCCATATAGGGAATAAGCTATTACCGTAGTACGAACGGGTGAGACTTACTCATGGTAAGACCTGGACCCGGGACCCAAGGCTTATAAAATAAGATACCGTTACGCGCATCCCCTACCCCTTCAATCAGCTAAAAGTTAACGTTTGCAGGATATATTTAAACTGGGGAAAGTTAAACTGTTTATTAGTTTATACTTCTTAACAAAAGTTATACTTCTTGAAGTAATCTCTGCAAGATTGGTGCTGGGGCAGTGAAAAAATAGTTCGAACTGCCCATTTTGGAGTTTGAATATAAACTTTGTGTAAAAAAAATTAAACACTTATCTTGTTGTAAAGAAAAGTCAATTTATTTGTAAGTATTTATTTTCTGCTAAGGCTATAATTAAATCATAGCGTTTTAATGATATCAAACATAAAATGTAAGAGCTGCAAAAAAGGTACAGTATTATATTAAAAACTATTTATAAATGGTTACCTAAAAAAATGTATTGCCTGTTAAAACCGGGGCCACACTTGTACAGTTCGGCCAAAACGTCTGTGCGCGCGGACAGGTCGCTAGCCCAACTAAAACTTACGGATACAGGTTATTTGCAGTGCTGGGGTAGGGGTGAGTGAGTAGCTAGACACAAATGTTTTTGTGTTTTTTACTGTTTTTCGATTAAATGGTACTTACTAACAAATGTTTTAGACTACTGCCACATTGTATAACACTACCACATTATATTCAATGTTGAATACAACCGCAATTTTATATATATATATAACTAAATAGTGTTATACACGAATACTAGAAAAAAACATTTATCTAGTATTCGTGGTGTTATATATTCAATGCTAATTCGTAGTGATTGTCATTCGAAAGTCTTTGGAAAGTTATGATTTGCTAACATATGATTTGGTAAAATAAAACACGTTTTACTTTACTCGCACTGCGTCCGACGTCACTACTAACACACACACACCTTCTTTCATACGCCTTGCTTGAGTGTGCATGCATAGCACTAGCACGTACAAATAGGTTAGTTAGTTAAACTATCGACGTGAAACTACTAAACTAAACTTTACTACCTAAGTTAATCAATCAACATGATTTTCATAATATGTACATATAACTTTGTTTGTATTTGTGAAGACTTTTAATTTTTAGAGACAGGGACATTAACAATCTTTAATTTCAGTTAAATGTGATATTTTTAAAATGTCAAATGATAAGACTATATTTTCATCAATATTAGATGATGTGAACTACGATGACATTAATGATGCATTTGAATCAATAACATTTTTAGAGGAGAACTTGAATTCAAGAGGTTTCGACGAAGGTTTTGAGAAAGGCAAAGTGAATGGTGAAATCGAAGGCTATCATCTAGGTTACCATAGAGGAGCAGAAATTGGGGCTGAAATTGGATATTACAAGGGATTTCTTGAAGCTTTGAAAGCGACTGTGGATCCGGGTTCTTTTATACTTGTGAGTGGTCTTGTAGATAAATTAAGCAAATTGATTGACTCCTTTCCGACAGTCAATGATGAATCCTCTGACTTGATAGTCCTTCGAGATAGTATTCGATCAACTTACAAAAGACTTTGCTCTCTTTTGAAAATAGACCCAAAAATACCAGAAAACTCTGAACTCAGCTTTTAACAAGTGTAGACTACAATTCTCATTGGGCCTATGTTAAGAGCTGTCCTTTGAGTTGAGTTCCATATTTCTAAGTAGGCCTAATGTACTAACCATGAAAGCCAAATCAGAACTTCATTGTCTGGTCAGCAACCTGAAGGAATTGCTACCAATAGCCAACTCACATTTGGTGCATTTTATAACTCGTAACAGTTTTGAAAGGATGATACCAAAGTACCTACAAGATGAAATAATGTCCCTAGACATGAACGAAATGAATCAATTGGTTTTGAGTAGGTTTTCTAATGACGGAACAATACCTAGACCTACAAATAGCACAACTCCTCACCTTATAAGCTTTCTCAATGATACTCAGAAGCTCTCGTTGAAACATAACAGCTCTTGTCTTTCTTTTGAAGACTTATTAAAATGTATAGAGTCAAAAGTAGACAGTGGTAGCTCTTTTCATATTTCCAAACATTTAATGTCAATGAAAAAGTCTCATGAGGTAGAAATAATGAGTGCCATTGTTGCTGCAATCGCAAAGGGGGAGAAATGTACACATATAATTGATGTGGGAGGAGGGAAAGGATACCTAAGTTCTGTTCTTGCTTTAAAACATGAACTGAAGGTTTTAAGTGTTGATTCATCTCTTGTGACATCTAAAGGGGCAGAGAGACAAATGCCAAAAATTGAGGTAAGTTAGGCTACTCAGTTTTTCTTTTAGTCATACTAGGCCTAGGCTATTAACTTAAAGTTATTCATTTTATTGTTTTGTTGGTAATTATTTACCGTATTTACACTGGGATATGATGTAAGGCTGCACTTTACTTGACGTCCTACACTCATTCGAATGAAAATATCGATCGATATATTGATTAATCGATTGCTTCATTCGATATATCGTTTGGTTAGTTAGGTAAGGTTAACCTAACCTAACTAACCAAACGATATATCGAATGAAACAATCGAATGAAAATATCGAATCGAAAAAACAATGGAATGAGTGTAGGACGTCAAGTAAAGTGCAGCCTGATGTAATTTTGATAGGCCTAATGTCTACTTAAAGTATTTTTAACGCTGAATCAAAAAATGCAATCAGTTTTGGTCGGAGAGATTCCTAAGTGGCCGCACAGTTAAATAATTAATATTAAGCTTCAGTTTTGTAGATTTATTAACATATTTGTGGTATGGACGAGTCCAAGTTCTAGTGGCGGCTAACACTAAAAGGGGTGGAAGGTTTGTGGAGTGGAAACAGCTGTCAGTTGTTTACATTCAATACTAAACAGACAAAACCACACACGACGCCATAAGAGCAAAATCAGAGTTACAATATGCAATAACTAGATGTATCAAAGAAAATGGACTTTGGTGCTGTTTAGAAAATAGGCCTACAATAAATCAACTAAGATAACTTACATAAACTATTAATCACATGAGAACATAAACAAAATAGAATTTATTCCCGTAAAATATCAGTAATAGAACCTAGGCCACTGCCGACATGATCATCATCCTCATTCCAATCCTCAACCATTGGCTTATGCCTCGAAGTCTGTTAATGAACGTGCCATAGTGCATAATCCCATAGTACATAATCCCATTGTGTCTAAAAGTGAAAACGTGCCACAGTGCATAATTTAATGTAGCCTATCAGCAACTAATAAATTATGTTTCATATAATCTAATCCAATCCAATCTAATCTAACCTAACCTAATCCAACCCAACCTTAATATTAGGTAATGTTTAAATCGCAGTTTATGTCAGAAAAGGTATGTGAGGAAGATAGGTCGGACTTTATGCGGATTCGTGACTATCCTTTGAAGTATACCAAAGTACCTACAAGATGAAATAATGTCCCTAGACATGAACGAAATGAATCAATTGGTTTTGAGTAGAACTTATAAGTCCTTTGAAGTGAGGTTAGATTAGGTAAGTTAAAGGTTAGGTTATAATGAACCGACTCATTAATTTATGCAACTTCCAGACTGTTTTTGCACAATTGAAATAGTGGGTGAAACACAATGAAATAACAATATCAAAAATGCGCATCTTTATTTCATTGTGTTTCACTCACTAGCCTACGGTATTTAATTGTGCAAAAACAGTCTGAAAGTTGCATAAATTAATGAGTCGGTTCATTATAACCTAACCTTTACCTTCCTAATCTAACCTCACTTCAAAACACTTATTAGAGTCACGAATCCGCATAAAACCCGACCTACCTTCCTCACATGCCTAAATAACTTAAGAAGTGATTATTTGGTTTCTAAAATCAAAACAAATTGATTTGAATTCATTCCGCATTAGATCAAGTATAAACAGTTGTTTGCTCTTCTCACTCAGTCCTCCTCACTCCTCACTCAGTACGGACCCGTCCAGTCCAGACCACGCCATAAGTTATTACCATTACCTTCAATACCGCTCAATTATCCTTAGATTCGTAATCCTAACCTTCGTTTTACGGCCACTACGGCAACTTAGGAATCTCTCCGACAAAAACTGATTGTATTTTTGGGTTCAGCGTTAAAAATACTGTAAGTAGACATGTAAAAATAACATCATATCCCAATGTAAATACAGTAAATATTTGCTGTTTTGTTTAGGCTACAATGTCATACAAAAAATAATCTGTTTATCTACTGGTAATTAAGGTACGCCTAGGTTATGGCCTAGGCCTATATATTTACTGAAGGCTAAAAACAAGAACATCTGCTAGTCCTGTTACTCACTGCCATTAAAACAAAATTAAAAGGTAGGCCTAGGCTAATTTACGACAGAACAAGGGTGTGACCAAACGCCGAAAACCAAAATCATTTTTTTTTAGTTTTCCGTAAAAAAAAGGAGCATCCTTTTTTAACACATCCTTTTAAGTCCATCCACATCCATTTAACACGTTCGCTGCTGACAGCTAGATGCCGGGACGGCGCCAGGAGCTGAACTAACGCTTGTCGCTGCATAAACATTGCTGCCGACACACTGATTTACAGTAAAAACAACAGTAGTTATACTGGATGGCAATGTTCTGCAATAAAACTGGCTTTGGACATAGTACCAAGCGATTCTGATAGATAGTAGCGTTACCCAGGTTGCAGTCGGTAAAGTAGTGTCGCTATCTAGCAGAAAAGAGGTGGGGACAAAGCCCTGTTCTAAACGACCCTGGTGGGGATTTTGGGAAACTATACTTTTTATTGTCAGAAAAGTACGTCCCCACGAGCTGCAAAGAAATATAGGACGCTCGTGACAAGCTGGCTGATCCATGGAAACGTTAAACAACAATGACACAGCGTTGTATATGTACAACGCTAGCTCCTGGCGCCGGGTAGGCACGTTGTAAAAATACAACGCCAGCAGCGAACGTGTTAAAACATCCTTTTTTAAGGTAAAAAAGGATGTTTTTTTAAGTTGGCTATTTGACTAATTAAGTTTGACTAACCCATTATTATGATTTTTGAGATGGGGACCCACCAACCTATATGCATATTTTAACCCAGATATGAATGAAGGATGAATATAGAATGGAGTGTGAGCCCTATGTAGCTTTCTTACTAAGACCAGCTGTTCATTAGTTAGGACCTTATTGAAAGCCCAATAATCAAGAACAGCTGGGTCCAGTTTCAAACCATCAAAAAGCTACAAACTTTTTTTGATTAGCTACCAGGCGAGCACCGTAGCCACTGAGCTACCCAGTTGTTTCTATTTAGGTTACCGGTAGGCCTACTATCTATTTTTATTTGTAGTCTATTCAAAAGATTGGATTTTTATATTTTTAATCTGTATGAATGATGTAGGAAAACAGTAAAACCCCTCATATTCGGCCTACGTAGGATGGAGCTGGATAACATTTTGGCCGGATAAACCAACCTATTATTAAAACGATAATTTGTATCTAATAACAATTAACTTAGTGATTGATTCAAAGTTATTCATTGAGTAGGTGAGTATTTAAGTCTTTTTTTTTTATCTACTAACTCAACTGAATAGTGAACCCGCTAAAAATGTGAATGAACAGGAAACGGATACAGTAAACCGTGAGAATGCTCATATCATGGAGACTATGTGTACAGCCGTGGGAATTTTAGTATCGAATCCGGGAAGTGACCGGATAAACCAAGAACCAAAAATTCCGTGGCCTAATATTAGGGGTTCTAGTGTAAATAGTTTAGCAAAAAAATGTAGTCTTGCGTATTTTACGTAGCCTAGGCTATCCTGATGATATATATATATATTTTTTTTTTCAGAAGTTATGGATGACATTTCAGAAAAAATCTGCCTCGAGTGATACCTCTAACATGAGAAATGCAACAGGAACTAAAGAATCAAAAAAATACTCCGAGCTTTTCAAAATTGCTACTAATTTTATTACAGAGAATACAAATGTCATTGAGATATTGAATCATAGTTTTCCTGAAGATGAATTGGGTAATGTCATGTTAGCTGGGCTACACACGTGTGGAAATTTGGCTGCTTCATCTATTCACTTATTTTTAAATAATCCTAAAAACGTCCGATGTTTGGTAAATGTTGGTTGCTGTTACAATTTAATGACCGAAGAATTTAATCAAAATCCATGTGATTTAGAACACTCATCTGCAACCAATGTCAGTGGTGTTGGATTTCCTATGAGTGCTTATTTGAGAGACGAAAAATTTGTATTGGGTCGAAATGCCAGAATGTTAGCAACCCAGCCTCCGGATAGGATGTGTCATGAAGGGACGGTAAGATTTTAATTTAATTTGATGAAAACCTACATTTTATTGCTTTAAGTCTAGTCCTAAAGTAGGGGAAGGTGTTGTACCTAGGACCTATTTTACCTTTTTATTTTTGTATTTTGATATGACACATTAAAACACAATAAATGTTAGTGGAAAGTAATCATTGTTCTTTAACACAATACATATATTTTATTTAACCCTTTATTTTCACCCAAAAAAGTTATTCAATTAAAAAAAAAAATTGACATTAGGACCAAGGTACAATACCTATGTTGTACCTCGGATCTACATATGTTGTACCTTGGACCACTGATTTTTAAGTAGAGGAAATAAATGTAGAATTAAATGTTATCAAATTAATAATTAGTTTTTGTTTGATAAAATATAACAAAACTGGCCCTTACAATACATATTTTATTATTTTAATCATATTTTGTAAGAAATTCACTCAAGTTCACTTATAGCTAGTTAAGGCCTACGTAAAATATTCATCTTACTGTCTTGGGGGCTCTGTCCTGTTCAATTTTAGCAAATTAAATTACAAATGCCTATAATAAACCTTTTTGACAGAATTATCAAAGTCTCCTTTTAGTAGCCTAAGCTACTATGGTCCAAGGTACAACCTATGAGCTAGATCCAAGGTACAACACCTGGCCATTTTGTAAAAACTTGGTTCTAGACTATTCTAGGTTAGGATTAACATGGTGTGAATCATATGAAACTGTAGCTGAGTTGTTGGTTTATAGCATCAAATTGCCAGCTGAGATAAACAATCATTAAATATCTAACATAATAAAAGAAAATTAAAAGTTGAATATTCTTACTTTTTCCTTGTAAAAACTTGTTTTAGTTTTCTTGTCAAAAGGACACATTCAATTCCAACTTGAACACATTCAGGGCCGCGTTAAGGGTCAGTGGCGCCCTGGGCAAACCCAAAAGCAGCGCCCCCCTTATATATATGTATATATAGGCCTATATATACACTGTATAACTATAAAGGTTTTGACCACAGCAGTGTAGGCAGGGGAAGAGGGAAGGGGGGTTGACTCATTAGTTCGCCGAAATTCACAGCAGGTGGGTTGAGGGTTGGGGTGAGTGCAATGAACTTGACAGTAGTTGCTATGCGATGCAAATGCCTCTTGCCCTGCGCCGATAGCTTAATGCACTACGCAGTGATTTGATTACTGTTAAGTACAAGTACAGTACAGTGTGCAGTTCATTGCATTATACACGTATTGAACGAGGTTCTACTAAGGGAGTATGTTTTTTACATGGTTCTACTATAGGCTTATAGTAAATATATATATATTTATACATTAGCGTGTTTTTTTTAACAGTTTTGTTTCGGGAGGGAGTTTTCAATTCCGTATTAGTGGAAATACTGGTAAATACATTTCACTTTCTTTAAAACTGCTTCTTGAGTTTGTTTTCTTTGAGCCAACCGCTTGCGGCTCTCGGCTCCACTAGGTTTTTTATGCTTTTTTATAGGCCTACTTACTTGTATCAACACTTCTCTATTTATTTATTACTGGTTCACTTACTGCAGTGTGAGTGTCAACTCAACACTGACTAGTGACTGTCACAGTTTAGGTTGTGTTGTGACTGATTTGACGACTGTGGAACAGGAACAGGCACAACACGAACACAACCTAGTGACCACTGAGGGAGGAGTACTTAACTGTACTGGACTGGCGCCGCGCGGTAGTTGGTAGTGTTGGTAGTTGCGACTTGTGGGACTGGGAGGGATAGGAGGTGCACGTCAACCGTAGGCCTGTAGATTACAGCTTACAGCTGGCCTACGTGCTATTCCCGTAATTTGCTGACGTCGTCCAAATTGCAAACAAAAAATCAGCTGATGTATTAACATATAAGTATATATTATTTGTTTTGTTTTGATTTTTATTGTTTTTATAATTTTTCTCAATGGTAAAATGGTGTTTGCAATCTGAGTGACGTCAGCATATGACGGGAATAGCACATCTATGTATTTTCCTTCCACCATGCAGGCCTCCCTGCCTCTGGTATTATAGTGAGTGCGCCCAGTTCACACTGCTGTCTGCCTTTCCCTGACTACACGAGGTATAACCTGAAGCACAGAAAACATACTACTAGTAGTATGTTTTCTGTGCCTGAAGAAGGTCGAGTATTTTCAATTTTGTTGTAGTTATTTACTTTTGCAATAAGGGAAAATCACTTAACTACAAGTTGAAATCGCCCTTTTTATTTTTGAAATCCCGGCTGATAAAACCCTATTTTTCCTAGTTCAGGGCGCCCCTCAGGCGCCCCCCAACCGCCGGCGCCCCTGGGCATATGCCCAGTCTGCCCGTTTATAAAAGTAGGCCTGAACACATTAGGATATACCTCTGGTGGCTAAAGCATAAACTAAGGGTACAAGTTCTCCCTTTACTCAACAGATAGTGCCAGAATGAGCATAGGTCCAAGGTACAACAACTTCCTTTGAATTGATTGGAGTAAACTGTTCATGTATACAATGTCCACTAAATCTTCCCTGTGCGATTTCGGTACAACTCAGCCAACGATGCCCTTTAGACCAGGCTGTGGTTGACCTGGAAAATCAAAATTTCCCCTCAGATTACTTTAAAAAGTACACACACAGGTAGTTTATACAAATCTAATACCCACGTATCATTATGCGACCCTGTCTAGTGTTGTCGCAAGTAAGAACTAGGCTATCGGGAGTTTGCTAAATTAAACAGTCTTTGATAAAGAGAGTTACAAGTTTACCTAAACAAAGACAGTAACATTTAGAATAAAAGATTGTTTGTTGGCTAATTTATTTTATTTACTCCGCTTAATTGGCGGACCTGAGACCACACACTTAGTATTTTTTTAAGCAACAGTCTGATCTACTGAGAGAGGCTGACAGGAGAGACATAGACCTCCAAGCCTTTGCAGACGACCTAGTGCTGACTGTTAGAGGCAAACACGCAGCCACAGTGAACAACCTCACCCAGACAGCCGTTAGCTTCATTGAGGGGTGGTGCTCCAAAGAGGGGCTCACAATTAACCCTGACAAAACAGAGATAATCTCCTTTACGAGAAGGAGAACTAACCTAACAGCCCCAAAAATTCAGGGGAAAAGTGTAAAACTTGTGAAGGAAACAAAATACCTTGGAGTTTACCTCGACCAGAAACTGACCTGGAGCAGGCACTTTGACTATGTACTCGCAAAAGGTACAGGTGCTTTTGGTGCTTGCAGAAGAACCTTTGGCAAGAAATGGGGACTCAGTCCCAAACTCACACATTGGACCTATGAAGCCATAGTCAAACCAATGGTTACATATGCAGCCTTAGTATGGTGGCCTAAGGCAGAGCAGACAGCAGCTGGCAGGAAACTGCAGCAGCTGCAAAGGCTAGCGTGCTCGGGGATCTGTGGGACCATGAAATCCTGTCCCACAGCTGCAATGGAGGCAATACTCGACATGCTCCCACTAGGGCTGGAAGTTAAGAAATGCGCAGCCATATCTGCACTAAAAATGGGCAGCAGAGGTGAGCTGAATCTACATAGGCAGTCTGGCCACCTGTCCATCCTGAGGGGATTCCCAAGCATGGACATGGAACTAGGCACACCAGACCTCATGACAAAGGAATACGACTTCGAGATTCCTTACCAAGTTGCAATAGGGGGAAGAGACAACTGGCAACAGTGCAACTTCAGCAATGACAGAGCATGCTTGGTCTATTACACCGATGGAAGTCGGAAGGATGAGAGATCAGGGCTGGGAGTGTATGGTAACAAAACCAAAATATCTCTGGCCTTGGGCAGAACAACAATAGTTTTTCAATCAGAGGTCCTGGCGATTGAGTGCTGTGCTAATAATATTATTAGCAAGAATCTAAGAAAGGGTAAAATCCTTATTCTCTCTGACAGCCAGGCAGCATTGAAGGCGCTGGGGTCATGTGTGACACAGTCACGAACAGTAAAAGGGTGTAAAAACACCCTCAAAAAGTTAGCAGAGTGAAACCAAGTCAAATTGTCTTGGGTTCCTGGACATTCGGGGCATGAGGGGAACGAAAAAGCCGATGCATTGGCCAGGAAGGGTGCGGAAGACCAACTGTCAGGACCAGAACCCTACTGTGGTACCCCCATAAGCTCAGGAGTAGCCAAAGTCCAAGACTGGGTCAAGGTTCAAAAGGCTCTGGCCTGGATGAACCACCCAGGTATGAGGACGTCCAAATTACTAATCGACCCCACTGATAAAGGCTGGAAAGACTTGCTGAGCCTTAAGAAAGGGGACATTAGTCTGCTAGTAGGAGTGTTAACAGGGCACGGTCCTATCAGGAAACGTCTCAGGACCATAGGGAGGTCACAAACAGACCTCTGCAGGTTCTGTGAGAACGAGGTAGAAACCTCAGAACACTTATGGCTGGACTGTCCAGCGTTGGCCCATAGAAGGCTTATATCTCTGGGGAGGTTATTCCTGGAACCAACAGAGATAAGGAAGCTGGGTGTCTTTCAGCTCCTGGGCTACTTGAGGAGCCTAGGGCTGTCAGAATGAATTAAAGGGTGCTACAAAAGGTCTCCAGGCCAAAGTAGCTAGGGGTATGCCATTACCCCAGCCCCCACAAAAAAAAAAAAGCAACAGTCTATTTAATTTATTAATTTTGAAATCAAATTCCATTTTCATTTGGTTTACTACCTAATAATTTTAATAGCAACCCAGCAGATGCACAGGCAGACCTTGCCTACGTCTGCTGATTTCATTATATTTATCAAATTAACTAATACAGAAATGTCCTTTTTATTCTTAGTCTTAGTTTGTATTTTGTAATTGTATATTTTGTATTCAAAAAGTATGTATCTTGTTTTCTATGTGGACATAAACATGTTATTTAATCAATTATTTCATTCATTCATTCATTTATTCACTAATCTTATTTTTGTAGGTTGAAACGGATGTTCTTTTCTACAGAGCTCTTCTTGAACTTTATTTAGAAAAGAAACTAGGATCAGCCAATGGAACTTCTCAATTTAAAGTTGGAAAATTAAAACGAAAATGCTCCAGTTTCAATGAATATGTACATAAAAGTATTGAGCGTTTAGGAATTCACATCCAGGTAAAATAGAAAATTAATTTATTTAAATTTATTTTAATTAGGTAATTGTTAGTTATTTCTGTACTTCTTTTACCTTTGTAAAGCATATTGTTTGTATTACTTTTCACATCAATAAGAAAAATGCTCTTTACAATGTTTTCCCTCCATTCTTACAGTACTGCTGGGTGTCTGTTATCTTTGTCTCAATTTTAGATGTCATACAGGATCTCTACTAATGAGCAGATTCAAACTGGTTCAGTACCTTTTTTATGGTTAGTGTTTTAGTGTTGGATAACAATTTTGTCAAGATCTGAAGTAACCTGTGACCGAAAGTAAAGTGTTTGGATTAGAAGTGGAGCAGAGAAAAAGATTAAACCAACAGCAAATAATTCATCCTACATATAACATAGCAGAAAACGTATAGTTACTACAGATGTTTTTCAGTTAAAATATGGCTTCAAGATAAGCATTAAAGAATGCAGTCCTTGCTTTTGACCCTGTGGATTGACAACCTATATTTTAATTTTAATAATTAATTGTTAATTCTGCAGTTGGTCTCATGGCTTTGAAATAGGCAAAGTGCTCCAACCACTATAGCAAAATATAAACTATAATCTACATGAGTTTAATATAAAAAATAACAACTAAACAAACTAATCAATTGAAATGCATTTTCTCAAAGCAAAGGCACAAAGTTGCATGGGAGGGTGTGTTTCTCTTCCTAAATGGTGAATCACTAGTTTAGTTAACTATGTGTTGGTGATGGCAGGTAGACAATGATGAGTTACAGCAGTTGTATGACTACCATGCTGAAGTTTCACGCAAGCAACTTCATGCTTTCTTCCTGTTGAAGCTTACCATTGCACCAGCTATTGAGGCTGTAATAATGTTGGATAGGCTTCTTTATCTACAGGAGCAGGTGACTTAATTTCAACTGAGTAATAGTTATATTTAGTTTAATTCTTAAAAAAACATACCATTTGGAATTTTATCTAAAAAGAATCAGTGCTGCCCAGCTTTAAAAAAATAGCCAATGGTATTGGACTGTTAACTATATTTTTCCTAACAACATTGAATGTAACAACACTTAAATTCCTCAGTTATGCTAAAATAAAGACACAATATTGTAATACATTGTTATAGTTTTAGATTTCCATTATTAATTAATGTACCTAATCATGTATCTATATAATTATCAAGCCTATTTTATTTGTTTACTAACACTATGATTCAGAATTATTTAGTTAATAATACAAAAATAATAAGAAGAACCAACACAGCAATACAGAACCAACACTAGTGTTAACACACACACTACAGATATAACAGCCCTTTAAATAATCAAATATTATAGCCTATCAAGGACAAGCATTCAAGGTTAAAAGCCCAGTCTACAAAATACGAACTTAATAATTTTATTTAGTATTTTATTATGGTTTCAGAGAACAAAAAGTCAGAAGCATCAAACACAGACACATTAATTCTACTTGAACTAAAGGCCCTAAAAAGAAAGACAGGATAGAGTTTGTGCGTTTCTTCGTGAAGCCTGGGTGTGAGGGGCTGTAGTGGCAAGTGGGGAGCCGAGCGTGTGAGGGGAAGTTGACGTTGTGTTCCTATTCTGCTACTAGTCTGACTAAAGACATTTCTCGGCATTTTTCAGTGTTCGGACCTTGGTGCGGAGGCGGTTCAGGTTGCTCGCACGAGATCTGTGATCATATTAATGTAGGCTAATTAAGGGTTCCATAACAAAAATGAATATTTTCAATAAATATCTAATTTCTTACCTCATTAACCCTTTGGGTCCCAAGTGCCGATCACATCGGCACTTCAGTTTTATCTGAAAAGACCCGAGTGGCAATGTGATCGGCACTGCCATTACGATCGAAAAGGCCCAGGTGCCGATGTCATCGGCACTATATGTGTATGCGAAAAAACCCAAGTGTTGTCATCGGCTTTTTGTAAATCTACCACTAAAAAATTATTTATGAAGCTTGTACCACCTGAAGGGTGGGACAATCTCAAACAGGTCAGCAGGACCGGAAAATGATAACACATCGTAACTGACTCACCCTGATTTATTGAAAAATAACAAAGTACCCTTTTACTAACCTGTTCAAATCAATAATGACAATTTTAATACACATATGACAAACCAAAGACAAATTTCTAAATAATCAATAAACCTGAAAAGTCAAAATGTGAATTACTTACCCACTAAAACCTTTGTTTCGCCAACCTTAACATAAGACGAGATTTTGGGACCCAAAACTCTTAAACAATACAAGTACTTAAATAAAATGACAAACTGCAATAAAGGAACTAATCATAAATCTAAAAGGTAATTCCTGGGACACCATGTCTGCACTGTAACCTATTAAAGCTTGGCCAAAATTTATTTAAGTTAAGTTAAATTTAATCAAAACATCTTCTAATTCTTCCCAGTATGGGCTTTCAGATAAACTTCAGTATAAAGTGAGTTCAAGTTAAAACTAAAATTCAGAACAGATAAAACAGATTAACGTTACAAGAATCTCTACCAAAAAAATTGCTGGAAATCACTAAGTTACAGTTAGGCCAAAAATAATAACCAAAATTTATAAAATTGTATACATGAAGTTAATTTGAGTCCATGGGTGCACGCACTAAGTTCAAATAGGTCTAGGCCTAATAGGGGTGGGCGAGTAGTGATTTTTCAATTCGAGTCGAGTCGAGTATTTGAGTAAAAACTCGAGTGTCGAGTCGAGTAGTTACACGTTAAGTAGGCCTAGGCCCAGGGTTTATGCTGCGGTAGTATTTTTAGCATCTTGCTATTCACTACTTAAAAATGCTAAGTTTACATTGTTTTGCAGGCTAGGCCTATGGCAAATTTTTTACAAATAAAATTGAAAGATGTAATGTTCAAACAAATGTAATATTAGCCTACTGGAATTTTTTGTTTTAAATGCTTAAGTTATTGAATAATATTTTTTCTACAGTTAGGCCTAACTTAGTTTTTGTCTTTGCAGAGAGTTTGCAGCATTTTGCTGAAAAAAATTTCATCCTAGCCTAAACCCTGCCTAGGCCTAAATAGGTAGTTTAAGTACTTATACAAAATTTTCTAAGTTATATGGTTACTAATTATTAGTACCTCCTACCTTAGGCCTAATAAAAAATTTGGCCTAGACTACTTGTTGGCTGCAGCATTAAATTATTTAGGCCTACACATAACTTGTAATTGTGTGTTTTATTTTTTCTTGCCTTTAATTCCTCCTCACTAACATGATAATCAACCTAACTAACTAAGGTACCTAACTTTAAGAATAATTTCAATTCAAATAAGAAACAGAATTTATAAAAATAAATTTATTTATTTAACAGAAAACTTATATCAAACTACATATTGTATCACAAGTTAAAAACATCAATTAGGTATTTTAAAATAGGTAATCACTTGGATAAGCACTTCATCTGTCTGAAGTTTGAAGGTTATGGGTACTAGGGCTATCCTCTTCACTCAGTACATTTATAAAAATGATCAAGTCACTCGTCTCTGTCAGACTGAAAATATCAAATAAAAACATAGTAGGCCTATTATCTCGAAATAAAATCCCACATTAAACACTTAATTTAAAATTAAAACACATTTCACTGTAGCCTGGTATAGCCTATTTGGCCTTTCTTTATAAACTCACATTTTCTAGGTTAAGTTACAATTCAAACTGTAGTTGTCATGTTTCTGTCACCAGATTGAAAATTGCACAATCAAAATCACAAACAGAATATGTTTATTTTACTTTCTATTAAACTTCCACCAACAAAATCAATTTTATTTTAAGTTACAAATTTACTTCAAAGTAAAAACATTCAAAACTGACGTTGACATAACTTCACTCCAATCCATTGTTTTGTTTGTTAATAGTTTGACTAATTTAATTCATGTTTATGTAAACTCATTAGAAAATTATACTTATATAGTTCGGCCGCTTAGAAAACGACCTGCGCGCTAATGGGTACTAGATTTGTATCACATCTTGCTTTGATTTTTATTGTTATTTCTTTGTAATGTTTCAATGTAATGGGTTTCCCGTTGGAATAAATAAATAAATAAATAAATAAAAAAATAAATAAATAAATAATGCTAAATCAATGCTGGAGGAGGTCGCTTTCTAAGCGGCCGAACTATAGTTTGTTTACGCCAATACCACAGTTGTAAAAGTACAAAAATTATCGTCCATCTGGCAACACTGAGTTTAAAGTGGAACTGATCTTTTCTTTCTGCCATTTGCCTAGACCCAATGAGATTGCGTCATTCAGATGCATCGATGTTCCTTGCAGTAACTTATCGGTTTGTAAAACTAAACACCAATACCGATTAATTTGAAAAAATATTATGCTACAATAGGTTATTTTTATTTGTTGTATTTCTATATTTTTGTATAAAATATTTTTATGGCAGTTCAAACTAAATCTGATACTGTACTTAATAATATCTTCAAGAATCGTCTGCCATTGTTAGGCCTACTAGTCACGAGACTCCCTTGTTGACTATCGACTATTGCAATTCGATAGATTCATTCAATGCTTTATTTCAACTTACTGTATCGTTATCGAGACGTATTGTTGACTGTTGTAGGAAAGTGAAAGTCTGTTGTTAGTAGTAGTAGTCCTCTTGCTAGCTCTGCCGAATGACGATGGGTGTTTGTTGAACATTTGGTTTACGCTGGTCTAACCTATATGAGGTTAGATATTTGTTTTTTGTAGGAATGGGGATTAAATAAGGCATCAACACAAAACAAAATATAATTTATTAAATATGGATGTAGAAAATCGTGAATTGGCACTATTTATAACTACTCGACTCAAAATTTTCGAGTACTAATTACTACTTGACTCGAGGTCGAGTATTTGAAAAAACTTGAGTAATTACTCGAAGGTCGAGTACTCGCCCACCCCTAAGGCCTAATTTAGATTTCACTTTGAAAGTAGTAGATCAGTCCGTCCACTGAAGCAAAATAATTTCCAAAAAGGTTAGAAACCACCTGAGTATCGAGAGGCAATTTGAAGTGTTGCGAAGTGGGCGGAAGTAGGTAGTCCCCCATGGATGTACTCTAGCGTTGAAAAACTCCAGATCCGACAGACTCAAAAGGGCCCTCGTCTTCAACCACTGGGGTAGCCAAGAGGTTCCTCTAAGTGGTGGTGCTCTCCCTTACCCAGGTGTCTAGGCTAGTAGGCCTGCGGCTCCAAGTTAGCTTCTACGGTGTCATCAGCGTGATCGTCCCAGGAAGTCGAACCGCTGTTACGAAAAACTTCATACATAGTAATCTGTATACAATAAATAGGCCTAGGTTTCAAATTAAAGCAAAGTGCATTACATCTTTTAATGCTCAAAATTTGAGATTCATTATATGCATATTACATGTTGATGTTAGAACATTTTGATACTGTACAAATTAGCTACATATAATTGGAAATAAAACCTACTAAAACAAAATCTGATTTGAGATAGATAAGTTTATTTTTTTTTACAAGTGGTTCTATAATAGGCCTAAGTTTTATAACTCACTATTTTATGTATTTATTTTTTTTATAAAAATTTACAAAATTTATAGAAACCAATATATTTATGCCTGTGTGAAACAATAACAGTGTTGTTCCTTTATCTGCAAAGCCAAATCGACACATGTGCCATTAACCAGTCATTGGATCTAGTAGGCCTAGCCTGCAATCTTTAGTCCTATCCTTCCACGCACCTGGAGGTTACTTCCAGGTCAATAAAAACAAACATTTATGAAGTAAAATTTGTATTTTAGTACACAAATTAAGTTTTATTTTTAATTTTAAACATCAAAAATATGTTTAGTGAACTCTTAATTGTACAATAATTTAATTTAGATTTTATAAATATAAAATGAAACTATTATTCTATCAAATTTTCTAACA